CTAAGTTAAGATCAGTCCAATAGTTGGAGGACAGTATTGGAAAACGTTCCTTTCTCTGTTAACAACATTTGGCATTTCCTTTCATTTTTCACACAGTAATTCAACCAAAATTATCTGTTAAATTAAATATCCCAATTTCACTCGTGAATGGTTACAACAAAAAAGTGATTTTGGTAGTAATGAACTTCGAATTGAAATTGATGGTGTTTATATCCTACCTATCAGACGCAGCATCAGGAGGCAGCAAAATGAATCAAGTTGTAGTTCATTGTGCAAGTGTCTCGCCTCCACTTAGCTCTAAAAACATACGTCTTATCAACTTGGAAGAGGGATTTATTCTTGACACATTCAACGTTTGGGGGACATAACCGTGGGAAAATTGTGGCTGCCTCCATATTAGGAAGCATAAGGACAAATGTGGGTTGGTATGTAGTTGTATTATTGAGACATGGATCACCATGATTTAAAGTTATGGAGAAGAGAAAAACAAACAAAAATATGGAAAGAGACAAATAGTTTCTGTCGGGGAGGAAAAAATGGGCCTCAATTGTTCGTTTATTTACACTTTAACTGCGATTAAATGCATATAAATGGGCATCATTGGGATCGAAGATTGAGTGTTCTTCCTTGATTCCGCTTCACACACCATTCACTGGGTGTGGATTGGCTGAAACAAGTGGAAATCTCAAATATAGACTGGGTCAATGAGACCACTGAAAGCGTTATCCGTTCATCATCATGCAGCATAAGTGATGGAAAAGAAATTGAAAACATTGACCAGTAAGAATCGTCACTTATGACACTGGATCGAATGAAACAACATAGCAAAGCACCTGTTTAGAATATCATTGATATAATTGGGTGAATGATTTTCGGATTAAATAATTATGTAGAACAACTTAATTTATTCCCTGCATTTTGGAAATCAGTAGGGATTAACAGATTTAATGATCTATGAAATGGGAATTATTTGTCATACTTTGTTTTCAAAAGATTAGTAGCGTCTGTCATTTTCTGAAAAATTAGACTAATGCCCAACGAAAAGGCTGATTCTCAACTAAAACCTCGAAATCTACTTCATCGAGTAAATTACGACGCACCATTACAAGTGATATTCGAACAGTATTTAACCCTTTGGATTTTTTTAGTAAGAAAATTTTGTATTGACATCTGACTTCAAGTCAGAAAAAGCCGACTTTTTATGTTTGGACCGCTTACTCCAGCACAATGCCTTTCCTTTCCTCATGGAGTGCTTACATCAGACCAGCGAGCTGAGCTTACTGCATACCTGCGTGTCCAATGGGGAAATGAGGCGACCCGCAGAAAAAATGTCGATTCGTGGACTCCGCACACAGTGGATGTCACATGTCGGGGGATAATCTGGTCCACCAATCACACCAGAGGAGGGAGAGCTCGCTCATGCTTCTGATTGGGCAAGATTGTTTGTAAGTCAAATAGGGGGAATTTTATGCGAGAAGCGTTAAATAATGTCATGTGGGGCAAGTAGTTTTTATTTTGACAAAATAACTGGTTGTGGAGAATTCATTCAGCTTAACTGTATTCGCGCTTAACGACACTGGTTCTTCAACCTCCGCGTAGTTTGTCCTTTCCCCCGGGGTGTGCGGTCAACCAGACGTGCCAAGAATTTCCCATTGCTTCTATACATTACTAATAAGCCTGCTTTCACATCGACTCATCCATAACGTCTTCCGAGAAGACCTAGATCGTCGGGAAATTGTAAGAATTGGCGAGGTAATGGTAAAGAGGAATGTTCGAATAACACATTCAGTATTAAAGTGATAAAGCTCAGTGATTCGGCTTTATCCTTAAAAACTACAGTAATTAAAAATATAAATGTCTTGTATGCACTTAAATTTTGTAAATAGAACAATCTTTGCTGTAATTTTTGTCTGAGAAGAATGCGATTTGCCAGCAAGTGTGTTAAAATCAGTCCTGAAAAGTAAAAGTGGTTATTTGCCCTTACCAGAGTGCTTCGTTAATCTAGTAATAAGCCGTTAAAAAGTTCACTTGATTTCATCTTTACGATCCCGGTGGAGCATATTTCAAACTTGGATCTAGAAAATCGCCAACGGACAGAATCACAGGCTTACTGCACGTTGATTGTAAGGCTACTTACAACTTCCCCATGGAAGTCTATGACATTATAATGGTGGAAGCTTTAGCAAATTTGCTCCAAAAGGGCAAATAATCCGATTTTGCTGCTGAGGATTGTAAGTCAAAGCACTTGAAAAGGTAGGCCGCTGCTGTGGATGGTTGAATTTGCTACTACTTACAATAAAAGGTTTATCAAAAAAGCGTTGGCTTTCGGAAACCAGACCAAGCCCATGTTCTACGCAGTAGCTAGAAGTGGAAAGGGTGAGAGTAAATTTGAACAATTCGCAAGCTCCAGAACACGAGACCTCATGTTGCCGAATGTTGAGAATAGTTCAATCAGACATCCGAGTAAGATTAAAATGTCAACCCCTACCAGAGTGGTGAGACGAAAATTTGACTCAGCTCTGAGGTATTTCTTGATACTGACCTCTTCTCAAAAGGTTTTGGCTTTGGGCCGTTAGGTCCATGATACACCTACTGTTATCACTTAAGGACGTCGTCCAGCAATAAGCAGCATGTTGTAAGTCAATCTCGAGGTAGTTCACTCAGAAGGTGAGATGGGTGATTCCATCGAAATTTTGAGATGTCCAATGGTCTAATCTGTAAACACTCCTTTTATCTAAGGAAAGTAATCTAGTAATGATGCTCTATTCATAATACTAAACTTGAAAATCGAAATATGGTGGGAACTTTGTTTCCGTTCTGATAGATTCCTCTCCCAACTAAGAGGGTAACCAAGGCGATTTAGTGAAGCTCCGTAGTGTACGAGGTTAGCTCTTAGTATAATAGACGCCTATATGTCGTGTTATAACATACCATTATGAGGTCGCACTTACCTCAGAACAGATTGCATGCTGTGTTGACTTTATCGTGGTTGCGTTAAATGCGCAAAAAGGACAAAAATGGATGCTATTTATGAGGGTGGTCAATTGAGCACAGCTTAATGCCACAGGTCTTCACCAAGACCCTGACTCATCGTGTTTAATGCAAAAATAGTGGATTAAATGAATGTACCAGTTGAGTAAGTTCAAAATCCATCATTATTTTATTTCTAAAATATTTATACTATATTTCATAAAAACGGCCTTCAGCAACAAAAATAACAATCGGTAACCGTGTTCAAGCGAAAACAGTCAAAAAGAGGCAAGAAATAATCGCATGTTTCAGTATCGGGGTGTGGCACTCAAATCACTGGAGTACAAAATGATTACTTCGTACATTCATTAAAAACCACCACAACCCTCTAATGGCAACGCCTGATGTTGAGTGTTTGAATAATGATACGTACGTTGTGCATAACGAATCTCACCCATAATCTAAGTTGTTAACAATAACAGGAATGTACATTATTTTATCACGTTGCTAGCAATCCGCTTTGGTGAGTTTCAAATTCCTCGGCAATGGCATTGGTTCAAAAGGCAGTAAGTTTAACCACTATTTAGCCGCACAGATCTTGGGTATTCTTGAGATGCATTTCTATCTTGGAGTTATAGTCTTCCAGCCATATTTGTAGCCCCAACTCCTGTATAGTGAAGAAAGTTAGCTCTCCAAGCCTAGAATCTTAAACCTTCCCCGCTTTAACAATGGATCGTCTCCCACAATGTTGTGATTCATTACATCGTCAGGTGTGATTCATGGTGCTAGAGAATCGTGAGGGTTTTTCAACTTCAGAACGGGGCTTTGAAACAAGTGAATATGCCGTAATGAGCTCAGCGTTCCTCTCTTCCACATCTGCTTTGATAAACATGGAACGGACTGGCTGGTTGAGAGATGATATCTCGCATTAGATAAGTGTTACAAAATAGGAGCCAGAGTTCGCTTCATTGCCATAGGTCACTAATGCCTGCTCAGTCACGGAGTTGGCATGTTCTGACCATTTCTCAACTAAAAGGCGCATTTACATAAATACGTACAACAATACTTATATTATGGTAAGCTTGTTGTTATTCATGTCCGTGCGATAGCTTTAGTTATAAGCGTAAAATAGTCAGGAATGTGCGTTCAGTTTTATGGTTTAACTAAATTTAGCTATAAACTGGAAGGGCTACGATTTGCCTTTTTCTTAACAAGAACCCCTTATATTCATACAAGTCTATTGTGGAGTTTGAGCTTTGTGTTTGGTTAATCCAATCTACTGCGGAGAAATGATGCATGAATATTGTAAGTAGAACACGAAGTCGATAAATAGTCTAAGCCATGCCATAATTAAGGACATGATAAAACAAACCTTTTTGTACAAACAAAGTACTTTATATTTAAGCGCTAAAAGTTTATTTTTGAAAATGCTGTTTGTTTCTGGGATTTGTTTGAATCGACCGCCCGGTGGATTTATGGTACTCTTACCTTGAACTTGCGGACGCAGAGGTCAGTGAATTTGTTGTTCTTTCCACTTTTATACACAGGGTTCGCCAGTGGGAATAGCTTTCTTGGATCTGCTTATTTGGTACTACGCTTTGTATCCACATCTCGCGTGTGAAAATAGTGGTTTTTGCATGCATTATATGAGGAGTTAAATCGCGTAATTCCGAGCTTAGTGATGGATAATTGTTTTTTCATCTCTATCTTTAATGCATTCGTTTAAGGTAGTGCTCTTGACGATTTTGAGTGCTTATCTCCCCATCTGAGCACTTTTATCTAGTCTTCCTAGCAAGTTGTCACTACATGAGGTACATTTTTGTGACTCCCCCTCGTTGTGAACCACTAGCACAATTATTTTGACACCTTGTTTTAAGTTGGGCGAGGTTAATTTTAGCATCTATTAGTGCGCAGAAGATATCCACTTAATGCGGTCGAACTCAGGTTCTTGTTTTTGTGGTTGTCTGATTCCAGTGCAATCCATACATGTTTCTGTGTTCTTTTGGATCGCTTGTAAGGTAACTGTAGAAATGCCTGCTAAGTTGAGTACAGAAGATTTCTCGAAATGGGTGGAACGAATCAACATCAACCGAGTGGAAAGTTGTGGCAAGTCCGTGGCCAGCTATCCCTTTGCCGCCTGTCGTGTCCGGCTTGTGAGTGGGACAAATGAGTTTAAAAGTGTTGCAGAGACGAATTTGGACGACATATCTGGAGGAGTAGGTTCATGCAGAGGCTGCATTGTCTACTGGATGAGTCGTGATCAGCGCATCCAGGGTGGGTTTGAATGTATTTGAATAATCCCATTCCACTGTTGTGGGCTAACTTTGTTTGCGAAGCGAGGCATCGTGTCTCTAAAAATTTTGCAGACAATTGGGCCCTGCTCTTTGCTCAACGAATCGCTTTGAAGTTTTCGGTGCCTTTACACGTCTGCTTTAATCTGGTCTCATCATCTGCTCTACGAACTCGCAGACATGCCAGTTTCCTCTTGGAAGGTCTTGCTGAAATTGAAAAAGTGAGTAATACACTAGCCATGTTCTTAGTAGTCCGTCTTTTGCTTAAAGTGCACTCATTTTAAGCTAGAATCTAATCTCAAACTATTTTTATCATGAGAAATTACCAAAAGCACTTACTAATGAACCAGTTGTTACTACTACTAAATGAAGGTTATTGTTATTAAAATTTGCCTGTTTCTAATATCTGGTAGTGTTTTACTTGATCTTAATAATTATTTCTTCCTAAATTATTGAGAAATTGTTGAACTGTTTCAAATGGGGACTGCAATACCAATACCGAGAAAACGATTGGGATAGGAACTCTGCTGATGCAGCGGTAGCGGTGACGGTGGAGATTAATGGATGAATTATTGCTGAGTTGTCGAATCGCTTCATCAGAGGTGTTTATATTTAGGTTTGATTGCTTCATTTTGTCCCAATTCGGGAATTCGTCTCTCTTCTTCGGAACAAAGCCCCCTAGAGCCGTTAATGGGAATGAGCCCTTCAGCTTTGTTTAGAAACTTCGGATTTATATTAGTGACGTTATATGCGCGTAATAAGAAAGTTTACTCAGTGCAACAAGCACGAATTGGGCAAGTCTGAACGAGTTTGACCGACTATAAGAGGGTCACAGGAACGTTGTTTCGTGTTCGCTTCCTTGCTTTGTGTCAAGACTGTTGCACGACTGGATTTTATTAATGTTTAAGTTAGTTTTCGGTTGGTCTCCTCTACAAGAGTCCACTTATCAGATGGGAGAGTGGTGGTGGGGGGAGGGGGGGTAAAATGTTGTTATGAGGTAACTGGAATACTTTCAATTTAGTTAGAAGTGCAAGATGGTTTAGGGAGATTCGTTCGTAATCTTCAGGATAGGTCCTGTAAGTGTTTAAGGGACCACTCTGAATTCGTCTTTAACATACTTCATGCCAAGTGAAGGAGCTATAGATTCATTATAAACTTCGAATCAAGCACTGCACTTTGGAAGGTAGTATGAAGAAAGGCAGAGTAAATTTTTAAGGTAAACTTTTAGTCTCTTACCTTTGAACAGGATGCTGTAATTGATGAACGCACTTTGGTTTCAACTGGGCGCAGTAAAACAAGGGATGAATTCCCAAGTCATCTGATCAGGAAATGCTATTTGCCGTGCATGTTGCGTCCTAGTTGCTCTTGAAGACATTTTGATGCATACGTAAGTGATGAACTAACCAAATTTAGTTTTGGTTGAGTCGGGGAAAACTAAAATCGTGCCCTGGCAATACAAACAAAACGAATATACTCGTCTCCTATGGGATTGTAACAAGTGGTCGTCGCTAAGAAGGTGTAAATAAATATGTTCCTTTTCATTTTAAGGAATGCAAGGACCTGGAGATTGGATTTCACTTGCTCCCTGTACCTGTCACCAAGTCGAAATCGGGAGTGAAACGCAGCGCTGATGGTAATGTCGTGCACCACGGTTCTGACACGGGGAAAGCGGAGCCGATTGTTGATGTTTTGAAACAGCTGGACGCTCGAGTTGTGGTGACGGACTTCTCGCCCCTCCGGGATGACCTACGTGCAGTGCAATTTGTCTCAAGCCATCTTTCTCAGGACATATCGCTGTATCAGGTTACTGCTACTTTACTATAATTGGTAGTTGTGTTAATGTTTTGGAGCATTGTGTCTGCACTGTGGTTGATAAACCGTAACAGTATATTTGTTTTACAAGTGGGGTTGTAGTTTGACGTGCATTTTGGTTCAGCGTGTCGAGTTTGTCGGCTGTTCGGTAGTCACCTTTTAAGGATGAGAATAAAACAAGGATTATGAACTCTTTTGTCTGCAATTAATTATGGCAAAGTTGGCAGTTTGGGGACAGTTGGATCTTGAGGGCATGTGACGGTAAAACAGCATCAGCTAATTGTTCTACGCAATACAAATGATGATTATCAAACACTACATTTGTGATAGCACACGTGTTTGTTTTGTTGCTAGTGAAAAATTCGATCGCAATGTTTTAACGAAAAATTGAAGCACCGGATAACCGTGTAAAAGTATGCATTTTGCACGATGATTTGGGACATTTGTCCATTTTCTTGATTATTTTAGCAAGAAATTGTCAACCATAAAGATGAGATGTTTAGTTGTGGACGAAATCTATATTTGTGATACGAAGACTCTCTAAGGCAAAGACAGAACGCTTTTATTGAAGGAATAATATCAAAGGAGTGAATAAGGAAGTTTCACAAAACGAAATTGCCTACGCCAGAGGTGCGTTGACACAGAAGCTATATTGAGACTCCTCCATCGCCCTATCCTACTTGAAGAGTTCCGTCTTTGGCTAACATCACTTTTGTTTGTTCACTGGTAGTTAATATCCTTGTAGAGGAGCAAATATGCTGATTTTTTGCCCTTTTAAATTAAGCTTTCTTTTGAATGTGGATGTGTTTTGTCAAAAATTTGTTGATTTCCGTCCAAATTAATCCAGTCGCTTTGGTGCAGTCCAGATTTGCTGTGCAACTGCAGAGGCATTGAGTGGGACTTAACTGTCAATCAGCTCGTTGTAGCCTTCTAAACCTCGCATAGGAGACATGTTCCTACATCATTTCATCTTAGAAAATGAACTATAACACAGTCAGGAACAAGTTTTATTGTCCATTTTCTTCCCGAAGCTGTAATGAATTACTAGAAACGCAAGATCTGTATTGTCTTAATGGTTAGAGTAGCTATGGCCCTGCTTTATAACACCATTCTGACTAGACCAATCATACTTTGATAAGGGATGAATACATAAAGGAGAAAGGGATGAATGACGCTGCGCGGCTATTGTAAAGGGTGCATCATGACAGATGCTGGGGCAAAAATGTAGCCTTTGGGAGTACACAGCTAAACCCGCTAAATAAAGTAAATAAGGGATCCATTTGAAATCAGAGCATTGAAAATAAAACGAAAGGGAGTTGTGGAAACGTGATTCCTTTGAATTTTCTGAATACAAACAAATCATCCACTCTTGTGTCAAATATCCACACCAGCACCCTGATACTACCCTCATTTTCAAATGCAATATTTTTCATAATTATCTTCATTTAGCTTTCAAACTAGAGGTTTTTAGGGTGAAGCAAATGAAATGCGTCAAGAATATGTGCAAGTTTTGGACCAAAAGATGATGCTCTGCCGCGTCTGGCCTTCCCGTTAGGCCATTGCAAGTCATGAAGGCCTGAAAGCAGGCACTATTTAACTTGGAAAGGGTTGAGGGACTGGTACTGCAGGTGGCTTGCTGAACATCCCACACCACCACGTAAGAGGCGGAATCGTGGGTGGCTAGAAAGATGTCAATTTGGTAAAGGCATAGATGTAATCCAGCAAGAAATTTGTTCAATTATTCCATTAGGAATGAGTATATAGATAGAACGATGAGGTGTGGTGAAAGAGACTTCGAATTTCATATCATGGAAAACTAGTCGGAGTCTATGTCTACTTCCGATTTATCAGCCTTATGTGTTCCCATAAACGCAAATATGGAGCAATTTATTGCAGGTGGATGCCCACAATGTGGTTCCAGCATGGTTTGCCTCGGACAAACTAGAGTACAGTGCGCGGACAATTCGTGGGAAGTTGCACGATAAGGCGAAGCACCTCTTCACCGATTTTCCACCTGTCATTCATCATCCAATCCCCTCCAAGTGGGTAAGTGATACTTCGTCTTTTGGACGCCTTGTCGGCCGGATAGCGATACTCTACCTACATAAGTGTCTGAAAGGTGAAGATTCTGAGTTGTACTTAGTCATGATGGTAGAGAATGATGGGGGGACAAGTACTCGAATTCTGCACTATCATTGTGGAGGTGAAATCGCAGGGAACCGAAAAGGTCTACATAGTGAACGATTATAGTGAGGATTCACTTATCTAGCAGTAGCGGCTATTCAATGCTAGCTAATTTAAGTTAGGACAGTGATGTGAAAAGCATATTGTGGAGTAGCGGACATGATGGGATTATTTGACGCCCAAATAGTGTGAAAAAGGTGGATAGCGTTTGAGAGATAAATGATGGTTTTTTTCAAATTGGCTCTGCTGTAGGCACCATGTTAATGTGACCGTTATGAACTGTAATTTACCTTTACTGTAGTGCAAAACCCTAACATTCTTGAGAGAGGTTTTGGGAGAAATCTACCATTTATTCATTCATTTTCGACTTCAAGCTGGTTTAATTAATTCACCAGTATTTGTGTTGCTCGCTTCACATCAGAAGGCATTCTGAGATGCAAGCCCAAAAGCGAAAGTTTAGAGCTATGCACCACTACCACTGAGTCGATTGCCCTGATCTGGGTGTCGATGTAAAACGTCGGCAATTTGGCGAATATAATATTCCGAGGTCTTCACAAGTGTATTCTTGGTCACTTTTCAACCTCGTCGAGCATTTTAAAGTAGGGTGGAAGTTAAATCACTGGTTAGGGGCAGTCCAAAATGAGATAACGCCATGTACATTACTCCATTTCCTTCTCTGTTGCCTGGTCTATGTTTTCGATAACTACTGTGGCGGTCTCTCGTGGACCTCGCATTCACCCAGAGGAGAGTGATATGGTGAAAGACTGATTCGTCGTTGATTGGAGATTAGCTTTTTTAATCACTCTCTGCTATTTTGCCTATTGTCTTCGTCTTAAATAAGTTTGCATTAGGATATATTTTCTTGCTGTTATAAGAGAAATACGTTGAAGTTAATACTCCTTGAGGTGTTGGCGTAGGATGATGCTTTGTTGAGTTGGAGGGTATCACAAGTACTTGTTAAAAAATGCACGGGATTTTGGTTGGAACCTTTTCAGTCTTAACTCATCTTGTTAAAAATACTTCCAGGCCTGTGCAAAGTGGTTGAAAGCATAGACGGGTCCTTTTAATAATTCTTGTTGACATTTTTCGGTTTGGTCCATCGAGATTTGCTGTAATTTGCTTTTTTGGGTTTCGTACCAGCATGATAGGTCTGTTCTACCAAGGGAAATTGCTTTGCGTTGTGAACAAAGTTAATCACACGGATTTTTCACCAAGTACGACGAAAACTATAATCGGAGTGGCTTTATTAGGTGTTTTTTCCTTTGCTATAAAAAACTCATATATGACTTTTGCTATTAGATTTGTAAACTTTGGACTACAAAGGGACTGCTTTTGAGACAGCTCTAAGCACAGGCAGTAGAAATGGTTACGTGGAATGCACATGGGTTTTCACGGTCTTCATTCAAATGCTCCCTACCCACATTCTGCGTAATTTTTCACACGGTTTACCGAGGTATAAATTGCTTAGTGAAAATAAATGCCAAATCTACAAATGATCTGCACTAGTTCTAAGCTGTCATACTTTTCTTCGATCCAGGTTTGGAGGTGTTTTGTACAAGTAAATTCGACTTTGAGCGTCTTGTGAGAATTTCTTGAATTTGTTTCAGAAAGTGGCTAATAATGTAGTGGTCGAAGAGTGCGAAAGAAGACTTAGACGATTGCAATCGAATTTATCCATCATTTGCATTTTTACCATCCTACTGTTGCAGAAGTTGATCGACGATCCTTGATATGGCCTATCTCCGAATAAGGCATAAGACGTAGGCATAATAAGGGTATATTATAAGTGCCAAGGTAGTATCATCCCCTCAGGCCACGCTTTTACCGCACTGTTTACATCAGTCCTGTAAGTGGTTCTGCGGACGCTTAAGATTATTTCAAGTGTTGTCACGACTCGCTGTTAGTGATTGCGTGGAAATAAAGGTTGATGAAAGTACTAAGATCTAAAGTGATTGCACTAGTTCTGCTGTTGTATCCCGACAGATTTATTTATCCACAATAGATGCCTGAATTCCCCAAGTTTTGGTACAGTGTTAATCCAGTGAAATCGAGATTGTTGTTCATTTGCAGTAGATTCATCGACGCTACCACCAATCAGCTTCCTTAAGGCACAGAGAAGTGGAAGTAGATTTATTATAAAGAAGACTTCTATCGAAGGTGGAATGAGCAGGGGCCCACATTGTCACCTCGAAGACCGGATTACGGGCTGCTGATAGTAGTAGTAGTGCACGCAGTTAATATAGCGGCCAATCTACCTCAGACATTAACTCCATTTCAGGAGGCAGTTGATTGGAAAGCGATTAAGCAGTCGCTGGTGGGCCTGGTGGACGAGTCCGTGGAACCCGTGACGTGGGCAAAAGGTGGTGCTAAAGCCGGCTTGTCGCAGTTGTTCTCGTTTTTGCATCACCGCCTGCGTGCTTACGCGACGCACCGCAATGACCCCACAAAGAAAGCTCTTAGCAATCTTTCGCCATGGCTGCATTTCGGTAAGTGGAACTGATTTCTCGTATTTAATCATCCGAATTCTTTTAATGTGGGCAATTGAAATGCAAGCATAAGTTAGCTATGTGGGTAGTAAGCTCAAGTTCAGTGACACTCGTGCTATTATCATTCAAATCTTAGTATTTGTATGATTGTGATTCTAGAGTAGTCTTTGTTACAATTGTATCCCCGTTTCCCTCTTGTAGATAATATTTACATATTGTAATGATTTCTCAGTACGACTAAGACTGCTTCCCAGTGGTTTACCACAACGTGAAGAAACAGGCGTTTTAAAATATTTTTCGCACATTGTTATGTGAGGTGTTTGGATGCTTTGAATCCCTCCAATCAGTTCCCACATGCCCCTGACGCGGCCGTCTACCTATCTCAAAGCCATGGCAACTCACGTTTCTTGCCACGCAAAGTAGTGTCTCACATCACATTTATTATCTCAAAGGCAATGTATTATGATGAGCCCTTCGAAAGTACACCTAACAAAAATAATGCGAATACCGTTGCCAAATGTGTGATGTGTAGTTCACGGTGACTGACACTGGCTATTTCTTGCTGCTGCTGTTGGTAGTGTTGCCACTTGAAATGCAAACCATGATATGTAGCGCATTAGCAAGCTCATGACGAACGGAACTGTTGGTCGTGATAAAAAGCAAGGCACGGATCGGCAGCCACAGTCCTCATTGTCTAATTCAAGATGCTATCAGTTAAACTCAGTATCCAGCATCGCAAGCCCAACGTTTACCGTGTGGTTTTGTTTGAGAGGGAAAACGGACGAAAAGACGTTAAAACGTGGTGTTGCTCGAAAATACACCTTATCAACGGTTATGTATAACGAAATCGACATAAGCTGATCCAAATTGTGGTTTACTTGACCAAATTATTTCAATTTTAATCGCATTACAAACGTTGTATAGTTATTTGATATCAGACGCATGCATTTAGATCGAATTACCACAGTTTCAATCTAAAAAAGACCAGTTTGGTAGGTTAGGTAGTTTATCTTTGGTTTGTTTTTTCCTTTAAAGGCGTAGGGGCATTGAAAATCAGAGATTTGAGATACATTGGGAACCTTTGGCAGGTACAGAACAATGCATATACACCCTAATAACCAACTTCATCTATTTGTAATTCTAACAGACCATGCCTCCTTGAAAGGAAGTTAGGCGACAACGGACTTCTAATTGTGCAATGAATTCATGGCTACGCAAATTGCTTGACTGTAAGGGTTAGAAGACCAGTTGCATAGGCAGCACGATCAGGACTTTGTTGTCATCAAGACCTATGCAAATGGAATGTAGAATGAGTTAGTGAAGGCACGGCAAACTGAAGTAGGGCGGTGGTGAGACATAAAGCAAATTCTATTGACAATGGGTGTGATGCGAGTAAACTCGATGAATATGATTATACATACATATATGTACACACAAATAGGTACCTACATACACCCATTTTGAAATTGGAATGTGCATGCAGACGTCAGGATTACACTGCCATGCGTAAACACGCACAAATAGGTGAAAACGATGGTGTGTGGGCTGACTGTGGCTGGATTCAGCTGTGTACTTGCTAAACACCACTTCCGTCTTAACGGAATGTGGCAATTCACCTTACTATTTGGATTGGTTTTTTTAAGTTATATGCAATGCCATCATTTATTGCTCTGCCCTTTTGGATCAGTACAAGCTCGTGTAATGTATTTTCAAACACTTGGTACTTCACGTTGTGACACTTCGAGGAGGCAGTTCTAGTTGCACTGGAACATCAACACAAGATGGAAACATTCTCTGACAGAGGGAAATGGAGGTAGTTTTGTAACTAAAATTACTCTAAAAGCATAACAGCTTAATTGCAAATATTTGGGTAATAGAAGCGCAATTGTCATGGAAGTTTTTTATTGCAAAAATTAAGTTATTATATCCCAAAAAGACTTACTCAAGATTGTATAGAGGTTGATTTTACTATTATTTTTAATGGAACCTTTGCTTAAACGAAGATGAGATTCTGCCGTACAGTTGTATTGGGAGGAAATTAAAAACCTTATTCTTTCCCCTGAAATTAAACCGCTTTTTTGTTAGCAACTATCTCTTGCCTAGTCAGTGTCAACAACGAAGGTGACCCATCACATTTGGCATCACCCAAAGAAGGATAAGAATTTCACGAGGGCTGCCAAATATGTGTAGAATCTGCAACATATTCCTTAAAATCCATTTAATGTAAAACGGAAGGCAAATTTGGAAGTACCCAACCCAACTCAAACTTTCGAGCACTTCAAGTTTTTTTTGCAAAGGCTCGATAGCACGAGTCAGAGGTCCTTGACATTTCGAATGGTTGGTCCTAAACAAAAAGTGGATTATGTTACATACTTTTTTATCGGAACCGCACATTAGGGCACATTTTGTTCCTAAAAAAGAAAACGTCCAATCACAACGTGCCTACTTTCGAGCAATCACTTACTCGCTAGTCTCCACTAGTCCCCTGGATTTTAGAGTTGATTCATTAACCACCGTGATCCAAATCACCGAGTAGAGAAAACCTGGCATCTCTTCGAATCAGAGAGATTAAGAAAAGTGTAATCAGGTGTTGGAAAAGCAATTACCAGGCGTGCGTGATTCGTGGGGAGAATACCTACACCACTTTTTCCTCGAATAGATAGGAAAATTGACCATCAAACGAGGTCGATCACGAATCTGCTTCGTGCCCCACCTCAAAGCGTAAGCCTTGCTTTGTTGTTGGATTAAAAAACAGGCTTTCAGGCCAATTTTGGCAAAATCATGCAAAGTTCAGCGCAGTTAGGCCTTATTCAAGCAAATCTCGTTGGATATACTAGAACCTTGGCCCAAAAACAGCATCGTGTCAGTAAAAGATTTCAACATACACTAATTTCCATTGTGAAAAAGTCTTGCAATCTTGGCACCGCAAAATAGGAGGGATTTAATTCACTTGAAATAAGCCTTGACATCGAATGAGAGGATGCAGCTGTCATAAAAAGTTTCAACACCTCTAATTGACATAAAAATATACACGATCTCTACCTTTTTTTGCAATATCAGTAAAAGAACTCACACAATCACTTGTTGGCCAGTCATTCTGGCGTGTTAGCCTACCTTTCTAACCCTCTTCTTTAGCCAAAACTCACACACCTTGAATTATAACCGTTTGTTATTGAACTTGAAAAGCCAAACGCATATTTCAGCACCTGCAGAGATGGAGGGAGGCATGCTCCAATTTCTCTGCCTATGATGCTTTTATCTGCAAAATCATTGTCAGGTGTAGGGGTCTGAAAGTACCTTTAATATCGACCTAGAGAAGTCCTAGGCAACTGACCGCACAGGCTGTGTCAAGACCAAGTAGCGGAAGGCTCTAAGAACCTGCATGTAGTTAACTGCACAATCATGAAAAATTACATTTTGTCTGCTTCAGGACATATATCAGCCCAACGTTGCTTGTGGGAGGTGAATCTACGTCGCAGTTTGCACAAAGAGTCCACGGACGCATTTATGGAAGAGGCATTCGTCCGACGTGAACTCTCCGACAATTTCTGCTACTATAATCCAAACTACGACTCCATCAAAGGTGATCATCTAGTGAAAAGGCTTTTTAAGTGAAACACCTCCACAGGAAGCCTAGTTTTATCATAATCATCATTAAGAGGAGGAGGATGGTGATGGAATAAGTTGTGTTGAGTAAATAAGTTAAAACAGTCTAGACTTGGATGCCGGTAGGTGATGCTTTTTGTTAAATTTAAAATTCCATTGGGAGAGAAATCTACTTTGTAAACAGCAATAGATGAAGACATCATGGCGATTAGGTGGTTATCTATTGGTTTGATGGAACTGTTCGTGTTATTTTTCCACAAGAGTTATATTTGCCACCTCCAAAGGACTTTTGCATGCAGAACGATTCTGACAAAACTGTCTTTGATGCAAGCAGAACTCCGAAGTACAGGCTTGAAGATCGAGTTGTGGGAAAGCGGAAAAACTTGCGTATCATGCTCGCAGATGGTTCTCATAATCTTTTGAAAGCTATCGTCGGTAAAATAAGCCTATGATGTTACTGCAATCGCCACTGATTTGAATTAAACAGCATTATTACACGAGACCCTTCATTGCATCGACGCCTGAAGCAAATCCACCAATGGTATACCTTCGCTGTTGTCGGCACTCGCGATAAATCTGTTGAAATTTCAGGCGCTAGCATTTTCAATGTTAACCCTACCCATATAAGTAATTGCGGTGCTGTAATTCCCCTAACACGAACCCATTGCTCTCTCTTAACTGCTAAGGAGCATGGTCCTGGGCGCAGGAGACGCTGAGAAAGCACGCTAATGACTTGCGTAAGCCATCGTACAGCGAGGAGACAATGGAGTCGGCGACCACGGAAGACGATCTGTGGAACGCGGCTCAACGCCAGCTGCGCCGAGAGGGCAAAATGCACGGATTTCTGCGGATGTACTGGGCCAAAAAGATCCTTGAATGGCACGCGGAGGGGCCAGAAAAGGCCCTACAACTGGGATTTCGTCTCGATAACCGCTATTCACTCGATGGAACAGATCCAAGCGGATATGTCGGCAAGTCTGCCTCCTTAACCTCTCTATCGTTTTACTCTTCTCCTTCCGAAAGGAGTTTGCCTTTCTCTTGCAAACCGAGAAGATGCGTCAGCTAACTGTGGATGGAACTGGGGTTTGATGATGTCGACAGTCTGAAATGAGCTTTATTATCGATCCGGTGAGGGGCTGAAGAATGAGCGATACAGGTGACAGGTGGAGGGCTCCACAACAGTAGCATGAAAAGCGAATAGCGAAACTGGAGACTAACGCAGTAAAATAAAGTGTTTTGAGCGCTATCATTCGAACGATGCTCAGCCTCTTGCGATGTGTAGAGGCATCATTTTTTTTGGCTGATGCTCTCTAACCACCATCGCGCATAAGTCAAAGTTGAATTAAGTAACTTTTCTGTTTGAGTCTCCAGTTTCGCCTCCCGCAGCCGATGCACCTCCCTTCGACGACCACGACGTTTCGAAATTGCATCTATCCGACAAAATCAGGATCTTGAGTGTGAAAGCAGCTTCATTGCTATAAACACACAAAGGGCCCGAGAAACCGTTGCCATCGACTGCATAAACCGAAATCCACGCCACCAGAACGTAAGTCAAAGCAAGAGAAGCTGAAGACTCGCAGCACCATTCCACCACACAGTACAAATCTTTGCAAAGCGCGTTACACTGATTGCCGCTACCATGGTGAATTGTTAGCGCGTGTTGATTTGACTTTTTACTTACACCATGACTCCTGTCCACACAACTCAGTGAGACTTCAATGATCGTATGAGTGAGGCTTACTGAATCAGGATGGTTCTAAGTGCTTTTCATGTTGCGGACATTTTCATCCTCTAGCCCTGAACAAAGCATATCACTTTACGTGAATGTGAGTGCTGACGTGTGCAAATTCGCGATTTGGCTGTCTCCACTACAAGCAGGCGCATGTTTGTGCCACAACCGCGCACACACGCACATACTACGCGAGTTGGACTTGTGTAGGATTGTCTACGCTACATCCTCGATGGTTCGCCGTATCCAGACCATAAAACTATCGCTGATTCATCCTGCGCTACTCTGTGCCAATTGGAGCCCAATCTAACGTTCATACTGTGATTCTCAAATTAAGCATTACAGTTTCCAAGTGGCGTGGTGCCTCGTAGACTTCGGAATGGGTCAGTGTTTTACGGTGAAGAATGCAGGCGGAGTATCTTGTTTTTCGCGTGCATTGGCATGACAGCCACACTTTGCTTGTTCATTGATGGAGACCCGGGCCCGATAATGACGCCAAGTTTCTTGCCTTTCAGGAGTGATGTGGTCGATTTGCGGGGTCCACGATCAGGGCTGGAAAGAAAGACCCATTTTCGGCAAAATTCGCTACATGAACTTCGCTGGTTGTAAGAGAAAATTCGACGTGGCAGCATTCATTAGGAGGTATCCCAGGCGAATGTGTACCTTATACACACTCGCACACAAGTGACGTCTCGGAGAGTTTTTCAACCCCATTTGACAACCTGTCTGAGAGCAAATTTAATTAGCATATTTTTTGACAAATAAAAAGGTTTGTATTTGCTCCCAGAGGCATTTTAGCAATTAGCCATCCAATCGGACGACATTCCAGGTCAGTCTACCGTAAATGGTATTAAAAAGCTATTGATGCGATTAAGCGTAAAATTCACCAACAAAAAGAGTAAAATAAGAAATTGAGTTATGTTTTTTCCCACCTACACATAAAGATGCAGGAAAAAGTGGCAGAAACATTGATAGGCAAAATAGCTGGGTGATTAAAGCCAACTACTATCCAATTCTCATGGTGTGACCATAAACCTCATTTGATAAAATCTAAGTGAATGGTGGAACAGCCATGGACTTATCACTTGCAATTGAAAAGGGGCAAACAGGCACATACAAGTAGCACAGCATCACACTCGAGAGATGTGCAACTGCTCGGGACCACTTAGAGAACATGATTTACGGCGCAACGCACCACAGCACGAGCCAATTTTTGGCGCAAACAAGCGATGAATGCGCCATTAGCATCGTCGTGCACATGTGCTTCTACTTTTGCTGGATCATTATAAACAGCGGCGTAGAACATATGCACCAAATGTGCACCCTGCGAGAAAACCCTGTTAGTAAAAGATGATTGCTTGAACTTCAAGTGTGGAAATCGAAGTCTCTAAATGAAATGCAACAAAAATTTTAAGTAGATTACATTCGTTCGAATCCAAAGTACACCAATAGTGGTCTCAAGTTCTGTCCATAAGATCACAAAGCTGGCTTTGCCTCAGATCCAGCACTGTTGACCATAACTAACAACCCATTCGGATCAAAGCCCCATTCAGGCGCGAATACCAAAAAAGGCTTGATCTTGATCCTCCCACTGAGCGGTACTCCAAAGGTAGCCCCAGTGTGACCGACAAGATCGAAATGGTGCCCATTAAAAGACAAGCACATTTTCCAACCTTTACATTTTATTGAAAACCGCTCGATAAAAAAGACAACTTCAACTTTAAATGCTAAGAAATATATCGGCGGCAACGTCAGAACTCCAGTCGCCACCAGGAAGGGTGAAATTCTTCTCTGTGATTGTATATATATAGTAGCAAGAGAAGCGATTAAGACTTAAAGTTCGGAAAAAATGGCGAAAAGTAAGTATGGGAGCAATGCTGATAGTGACCAGTATATTCGCAGCCAGAATGGACATCGAGGCAGTAAAAAAATATCTAATCGTTAGACCACCAGTCCACACGATCGTTTCTCGAGCGACCGCCACCGCTACCACTGAAATTTGAGTAGCCGCCTCCACCATTGAAATTCATCATTCCTCCACCCGAATTGCCATAGCGACAGCCAAAACCTCCACCGGACTGCGCTCCACCACCACGGCCATGTTGTTGACGGTAGTCACGGCCGCCGAAACCACCACCTCTGGAAAGTTATAGTATGATATAACGGCTATTTATTGACACAGAATTAGCATTTACAAAATAAGACTGACCGGCGTCTGCCTCGATTAGACGGTTGATGACGAGTCGGTTCCTCACCGATGGACCTCAACCATTGAGGAACGAACTGATTAACCTCTTCTAGTCGTTCAATCAAGTCGGTTGCCAGATTACGATTCTTGTCGTTAAAGAATGACGTCGCTTTCCCCAAATTTCCGACTCTTCCAGTACGCCCGATCCTGTGAATATACTCTTCAATGTCTGACGGAAGATCGTAATTGATGACGTGCTAGAAAAACGGGTAAGATAACTAATATAAACTCTTACTTTAACATCGGGTATATCTAAGCCTCTAGCGGCGACGGCCGTTGCGACAAGTATCGGTGTTACACCCAAACGGAAGTACCGAAGCGCCAATTCACGATCTTCCTGAGTGCGGTCACCATGAATGCTGGCGACAGAATACTTTTCCTGGTACAAATATTCTTCCAAAGCGTCAGCACCTCGCTTAGTTTCCACAAATATGAGGGTACGATCCCCGGGATCTAAAAAGTCATTAATTACAGTAGCGAAACAACCTACCTGAATCTGCAAGAAGATCGACGAGAGCATCTCTCTTCTGGCTTTCGGTAACCCAAAGAAGAGTCTGTGTGATATTCTCACTTGTACTTCCTACTCTTCCGACTGTCAAGAAGACGTAGTTACTCAGGAAGTCTTGGGCTAAGATTTGGATCTCCTTGGGGAAGGTGGCGGAGAACATCAGCGTCTGTCTAGTCCCACACGGCGGCATGTGATCCTGCTCAACAATACGCCGAATCTGTTGCTCGAAACCCATATCAAGCATTCGATCGGCCTCATCCAATACAAGAAACCTTAACAAAAGTTACTAGTTACCGAATAATACCTAACATGATTGAGGCCGATTTTGCCGCGCTCTATCACATCCAGCAAACGTCCAGGAGTTGCGACTAAGAGATTGCAACCATATGACAACTCAAGAAGCTGTTTTCGCATATCGGCCCCACCATAAACGACGCATGGCCTGACTTTGGATCTGTATGAGAACTTACGGGCTTCGTCATAGATCTGAGATGCAAGTTCTCTTGTTGGAGCAAGGATCAAACCGACAGGGAACTGTTTCCGCTTGTTCGTTTCAAGCTAAATTCTGGTTAAGTTGAGTTATGGAGACCTACACAGGCCGAAATGGAATGGCCGGGACCTTGCTCAAACATGGTATTCAAAATGGGAACTAAAAAGGCAGCCGTTTTTCCGGAGCCCGTTTGTGCACACGCCATTAGATCTCGTCCGGCAGAGATTATGGGAATGGCGTACTTCTGAACTGGGGTAGGGCGGGAGTACTGAGAGCAGGTAATATTATCTCGCATTATATTCGTAAGGGCGAGTTCGTCGTAGGACTGAATGGGAGCTAAGTCATTAACATTGGGACCAGAGACTTTGGCTTGAATATTATCGTAGAGATCGAAGTTGATGCCCGTGTTAACTTTGTGAAAAAGTTCTTTTTCAAGGCGTTCGTTACGAGGCAACTGTTGTGACCAATCAACGGAACCACTTTCATCATAAGAGCGCCGTGAGGATCCACCAAAGCCAGAATCTGGTCGTCTGAAGCCCCTATCATAATTGTATCCGCCACCGTTGCGATTGCCGTAAGCATAACTTCCACTACCACTAACTCCACCACGGCCTCGACCACCACGACTGTAGCTGCTATCGTAACCTCCCCGACCACCACCATAGGCTCCACGGCTCCCACCACCATAGCGGGGTTTATCGTTTTCAAACCCACCATTGTAATCATACCCGCCACGTAGATGCGGAGGCACGTACTTTCGCTCTAGCTCACTTGGTTCAGAAACTGGGCCATCAGCTACACGAAGATTTGAGAACTAAAAATGAGACATACTACACCTGTACAGTTAGAAAATAATCCCAGCTATAATAACTTTGACCACAAAGATGGGCCCATTTTAGAGTAAATTTAACGACGATCAGATATAATGCAAACAAGAAATACAATATACATATTTCCAGAGCATCAAATCTTCAGTGCCGTCCAGAACCACCAATACATTTTAAATTCAGGTATAAACATGAGGAAACGAGAAAAATAACTTTAAGAGAAACACCTAATAAGTACCACAACGACGCAAAAAAAAACCAGGCAAACAAAACATTAAAGACACTAACTCCTCAACAGTTGGAACCACCCAAGCATGAAACAAAAGGCTCACCTTATCTTCAATTTCTCGATCATTCTGAACGCAATCATAAGACATAACGACAAGAGGCGATATGCGAGCAAGCACCTGCGTATCTATTTCCCGGGGCACCAAGCAATGGCGTCCACTTAAACAAAATTTTAACGCAAAAATTTTAAATGTTGTGCTCAGAAAAGACTCAGTAAATCATGCATATTAGCAGTTTCACGAATTTTGTATGATTTTTAGTCTAAAAAAGGCTGATACAGCCAAACTTTCAGAATTTTAAAAACATTTGGACAAAACTATAAGGATACACACAAAGAAGGTCCGTATATGCCTAGTTAGTTTTAGAAAGCACACATAAATTCGGTCTGCTAGGAACCATAGGTTTTTAATCAAAAGGCGGCGTGACCGCTTGAGATGAGCAACTAAAATTTCGATCTTCATATTTTCAGGGAAAACTCACATTTTCATAATGGACAAAAATTGCCAATAAAATATAGCATGCCCTCAATAACTACCCTCTTCTTTAGGCAAATGAATTTAGATGACCAAATTGGCTAGGGGTTTCAGGTAATTTGTGCAAGTTGAAAATGGTACGCAGTAGCTACCATGCCTGTGTGGAAGTGACAAGGTTCTCCTACAAAGCGATCGAAAACTAAAGCAAAGGTAAGAGATTTAAGGAGTGTCCACATTGTTTTCGAATTCAAAACATATTTTAAGAATCTTATCAAGATAGTTCTCCCGGAACCCAATTATAGAAAAAAGTTGCTTTAAACGTGTGTCCTAAACCTTAGTTTTCGTTTAAGTTTTTATGTAACAAATGATGAGGACCGTGCAGAAGCCATCTAAATAATGTCAAAAAGAGACCCTTCCTTGAATTTTGTAAGTCTCTATTCAAGGACTTTAAAAAAAGCTGGAGTGTAAATAGCACCAAACTACAATGATCCTATTTTTCCTAAATGAAATAATTTTACCAATGGGCCATGGTAATGACCACTCCGCTACATTCACACCGGGGAAGGGGGCATAATAACTGTGTGGATAAGACCAACACGGTTTTGACACTGGCCATCTGATATCTAGCTATTCGTATTTGCATACAGGCTCTCTCACGCTGTCCTGGATGTGCAGCTAAAAGTACGTGCAAACTTCAAATGGACTATGCCTTTGTCGAAAAGCTTGGACTTCTCTCTTATTTGTCAGAAGTTGGAAAATGGAACAGCTATCCTGTTGCTACTACAGCAAACAATCCAGTACATGGTCTACAACTTGACATGTTATTTTTTGTCATAAATAAACAGCATGAGGAATGCAGAGGGATTCTTATGAAGCAGAACCATTAACTTTTATAACCCTGGATAGTTTTCTTTTTCATCTGCCTCAGCAACATCTTTGTCCGGTTCCATCAACAAGGTCAAATGTGAGAAGAAGGTCAAGGTGAATCGTGTGCAGCTCGTGTGTACGAAAGTTGTTGACCATAATTACAAGCCTATATAATTACAAACTATTTCACAATCCACTTTTAACTCTCTTCAATAAAAGGGTTTGCATGGGATAGGTTGTGTAATTATCTGTGTAAAGCCTTATAACTAAGAGTAGTTTTAAGACTTCCTAAAATTAAGAATTATTTTCCAGAACAAAATAGCGGTGTTAATCTATGCTCCCTTATTTTTAACCAAAAGATTTTGTAGTGTCCTGAGTCTTCCCTAAAGTTCCAAGAAGTTACAACAACGTAACAGAAAATATATTACTAAAGTACAGAAGGACTGAGACTACTGGCTTGGCCCGAAAGCTATGCCGGTGAATAAAAGTACAGTCTGCGGAGGCTTAAGTACTCGTGTAATCAAACACAGAGAAGGACAAATTACCAAACCCTTACAACTTATTGAATCGTAATAGGTAAGTAGCAGCCACCAAAGATTAAAAATTAGTTTTCTACCCCATTAATGGTTCTACCCAAAAGCACCCTAAAAGCCTGAAGATTGGATCTATTTATTCCTGCTCGCATTTTAACATTAAATTCGGTACCAGATACTTCAGTTACTAGTGCATGGAATGTCACGCCTTTGAGAGCATCAACTAAGGCTACTAAGGTAACTACTGTAATACGATAGTGGTTTATCCCTCGGTTCTGGTGAGGCGCCACTTTTGGACTTTGAATTAGCCCCCTTGTACCTCGCTGGGTGG